AGACACCCCAGAAACAAACTAGTCCAAAACTGACTTCGGTGGGGTTTTTTCTGCTTAAACCTGCTCTGCTTTCCATTTGCTGTCTGGAAATAATAGCAATGCATAAGAAAATGTCCAGTACTTGGCAAGTACCTAATGTTGAATTTCTAGAAGTCATTTTTCCTCTTAGGCTGTGTTGTCTTACATTATCCTTTAAAATAGGCTACTGCCATTACTCCAAAGGTCGGTTCTGCAGATAGCCAGTGTAATGAATTTTAGGTGCATGATTGTGTGTGTACCCAAGGGTAGAGTCTGGAGTAGTGCTGTGCAGTATGGTAGCTACAACCTTACGTGATTATTTCAGTCAATTAAAGTTAAATATAATTGAAAGCTCAGTTCCTTGACCACATAACAACTGACTTCTTAAGTGTTCAACAGCTACATATGACTAGTGGATATAGTTGGACAGCACAGATAGAGAATATTTCCATCATCATGAAAAGTTCTGTTGGACAGTATTGGTCAAGAGAAGCTAGAGCAGTAGTTTCCAAACTGCTGTGTGGTGTGTCTTACATGTCACTGAAAGGAGTGCTGTAAGTTGGGAGTTCCCAGATCCTTTAGTCCCCCTTTAAGAAGAGCACTTCTGGTGTTTTCTATTTTATATCTCGGACTTCCAGCGATAGTATCGTTTGAAGAAAATGTTTGGACATCACCCATCTAGAGAAGTGGATAGACTGTCTTTCATTAAACACTGTCACTCAAGGAAACTTCAAAAAGTTATTTTGAGGCAGTAAGCTTTACTTTTCATACTTTAGATCTTAATCTAGAGTATGATTTCAGGTTGCCAATTAAATCCAGAGCCAAGCTCTTTGGAGAATCAGGGAGTGTAACAGGGGTATGCGTCAAGGTAGAATAGCCATCCATTTCCACTAGAAGGTGAACCAGTACTTGGCTGCCTTATGGCTGCTGCATCAAGTCTAAACCAGTCCACTGTTGTGCATGGTTTTTTATAATTAAACCAAAAGACCATTAGGCATCGTCTTTTATAATCCGTGGTGGGGGGAAAGTGAAACTCCATACTAGATCAATACTAGAAGCTAACAGGCCTAGATAAAATTGGTTAGATTCTTTTTCCATCTGTTCATTTCTTCCTAAAAACTTACTCTTAGGTAATGATGATATGTTCCTTTTTTTTTTTTTTAGGGAACAGATTAAGCGAGTAAAAGACTCCGATGATGTACCTATGGTGCTAGTAGGAAACAAGTGTGATTTGCCAACAAGGACCGTCGACACAAAACAAGCCCACGAACTGGCCAAGAGTTATGGGATTCCATTCATTGAAACCTCAGCCAAGACCAGACAGGTACAGCAGAGCTTTGAACACCTGGCAAGCATTCATTTAAGGCAGAAGAATTTGATTACTAGAGATAATGATCTGCATTCTTTGTTGTTACGGAATTTTTTGTATTTTATTTTTTTTAATCCTTCGTCTAAACCCCAAATGAACCGATTAATATTTTGGTGTGGCATTTTAGCCTCACGTTAATATGCACAAATATTACTAAAATGAAGACCCTTGATTAAAATTAGTTACAAACATTAGACCTTCCGCCATCAACACCAGCTAGTATTTAGGGATTTTGCTCTCGTGAATGGAATCTTTAGATCTGGTCGTTCTCTATGTCCCACGTTACCCATTTTCCTGTGCTTGAGTATAATTTTTCAAAATTTGCCATTTGTATATATCAGTCTGTTGATGTAATTCAATAAAAATGCTAAATTTGGTGTCCCCAAGAAGTACAAGTGAGATAGTTCACATCTTGGATCGTGTCTATTAAGCCGTCTTTATCATTCTCTTTTACAGGGTGTTGAAGATGCCTTTTACACACTGGTAAGAGAAATACGTCAGTACCGAATGAAGAAACTCAACAGCAGTGATGATGGGACTCAAGGTTGTATGGGGTTACCGTGTGTGGTGATGTAACAAGGTGAGCATGCGGTCTCTTGGCGTCATAATCATAAATTTTATTATTTAGCATCAGGCAGTTTGGAGGAGATTGCTGTTATTTTTTCTGTGTTGCTATTTGAGAGTTTCTACTTGCTCACAGCTGTAAAATATTTTCCTTATGGCACCCTTTCTGAGAGTACTTTTAAAGCATTTAAGTATTTTATAGACATCATTACACTTTCAATAACAGTAGAAACCAGAAGACATTATTATGAAATGTATGCCTACCATACCATATTCTTGCACTGATTAGGAATTGGAAGAATCATTACATCAAAACTAGATTATAATGACATGGTGTGTGTTCTTTTCTTATAGATACTTTTAAAGTTCTAGCATCAGAAAAGAGCCACTGTCAAGGTATGACAAGCTTGGAAGCGAATGTGTTATCGTTCATGTTGATTTCTTAACCATGTTTTTCTCATAATCTCCATGTGCCATTTATACAGATTCTGTCTTTATTTTAGCTGCACTGACACCCTGGTCCTGACTTCCCTGGAGGAGAAGTGTTCCTGTTGCTATCTTCAGTTTCACAAAGAAGCTCCTGCTATTTCCCCAACTCTCTGTAGATCAGTACATTATTCTCTGTTTGAGAAGTTCTCCGAATAACTACCTCCTCACTTGGTTGTCTGACCAGAGAAATGAACCTCTTGTTACTCCCCACTGTTTTTCCACCCTGGTTCTCCCCCAGCACATATAAACAAACCTCCCAGGTTTTTCATCTGAAAAGTAATTCATGCTCTGAAACAGAGAACCAAACTGTAGACATGAAATTCTGTAGGAAACAATGTCTTGAGCTCTAAAGTAGCAACTGCTGGTGACTTTTTTTTTTTTTTCCTTTTTACTGTTGAACTTGGAACTATGTTGGTTTTTGGAGAAATGTCGTAAGTTACTGTTTTGCTGAGTATATAGTTAAGTTTACCATTCGGTTTGTTTGTAATGTTATTGGCTATACTCTATACCTGGCATCTGCTCTGCATTCATAAAAACAAAAGTGAATTCTGACTTTTGAGTCTATCCTAGTGTTCTCAACTTCCACATAATTAAATCTAACTTTTGCAGCAAAGTGCCTTTTTCCTAGAAGTGGTTTGTAGATTTGCTTTATAATACTTTGGTGGAATAGATGTCTCAAAAACCATTATACATGAAAATGAATGTCTGAGATACGTCTATGATCTGTCTCCCTTTGAGGGAAAGATATACCGACATAATAGCAGATGCCGTGTCTTACGTGTATGAAGTTGGATTTCCAGAGACCTGATTTGGGTCTCTTCCAAGAGAAAGATGAAACTGGAAACAATTATGAATAACTTCACTTAATTTTTACCTAATCTCTACTTCGGGGCGGGGGGGCAGGGAGTAGGTTACCACTTACAAAATATATGCAATTTGTTTCTTCTAGCTTACTGATAATGAACTTCCATTCATATTTAAATTTAGGTCATATCCTAAAGCTTTACATTTGCAGGTGTTCGAAATTGTAAGTTTAATGCAGTTTTATTTAATAGCTATGATCAATGATTTTCAAGCCTCAGAGGTATTAACGGACACATTTTCACTGCGTATTATGATATTTTAAGGATGTATATTATAACTGCCCTCATTCCCCTTCCCATCCCACCGCAATGGCGGCTTGGTTATTTCAGTTGAGTACAGCAAGGTGCTAATAGACCAGGGTCACAGTTTCAAAACTTGAGCAAGCCGGTTAGCATTGCAGAGAGAGAAATTCTTCCACATTTGCTCATTGCACCAGTAAACTCCAGCTAGTAGTTTGGCCAGATGCACACTGTTAGTCCTGCAAGGAAAGAAGAGGTCAGTTAGCACAGATCCTTTACCATGACTGGAAAAACCTGCTGTCTTGAGGAGGGTCAGCTTAGAAATTTTTATAAATAAAATCTGTAGACCATTTTTAGCCATGTGGAAACTCTGAATTAAACCAATATTTTTTCTCATTATTTTGAGAATGAGGATGCCTCAGATCAAAATTTTCAAAATTTTCTTTCTTCATGATGTCCTTTGAAGGGTTTAAAACCAGATGTTGATGAATTCGTCTGTGTATACCAGATAATAAGCTGATGGAGTTTGCTCAGAAGAGAAGTAGCCTTTCTATAGAAATTGCTGTTTGAGAAGGGACTGGGAAGTAGAACTAATTGTTAGTTATGAGGGTTTGGAGGTACGGCGTTTGCATTTGCAGATAATTTCCTGGTAATTCCAATGAAAAGGAGACTTGGATAACTTTTGATGAGAGATTAGTTCCCAGATGGCCGCTTCCTGTTCTGGTCTCCTCTGGTGTGTACTTACTGAGGTCCTCTATCTTCTCAAACGAGCTTTCATTTAAGGAGACTCCACACTGTCTCTAAATGGATTCAGAAGAGGGCAAGAACCTGCACTGTGCCCAGAGCGAACAAGCCCAGAGAGTTGTGTTCCTTAGTGTTAACTTTGAGAGCTTTCACATACTGTCAACAGCTGTAAATAGAAACTCCCGCTGCTGGGTTTCTGCTCCTTTTGGAACATTGCTGTGTGACTTTCTTGAGGCTAGATGGAGTCTTGTCACCTCAGCTGTCATTGTCTTCCACCTCTTCCTCCTCTTCTCATCTGTGTGACTGACAGTATGACCCTTTTTGTAATATCAAATTTAGGGAAAAAGATACTCATTTTTGCCCTTATATGTATGTACTTACAGTTTTTTCAAGTGTGTCCTAAGCACAGAATTATCTAAATGGGGCCAAAATTCAGACTTGAAAATGTTCTTTTAATAGCTTGTTAAGAAGTTACACATAGGTGTGAATTTTGGCACGATAGAGTGACAGACTTACAGTTAAATGCTGAGTAACTTCAGTTGGTGTGAAGTAAAGTGTGGTTGTTTAGAATTTGTTTGTAATTGCTGAAAACAGTTCTAGTTTACCTCAGAATCTGAAAAGTCTCTTCCCCCAAGTTAAGTGCCTGGCCAGCTGTCATGAATTACATACTACTTTATGTGTGTTTGTGTTTTAAGGGTTGCACACCCAAGAGTGTGAAAATAAGATGTTCTGTGTAAAGGCCACCATGCCTAGTCTGTAAATGAAACTGTTAAGTGCTGTATTTGCTCCAGCAGCTTACTCTAGAATGTTACTTGGTAATACAATATCATGCTTCTTACAGTTTTCACTTTAGTGTAATAGGTAAAGTTATTCTCAGTATGTCTTTTAGCAGGCCCATGTTTAGTCTTTCATCATCCCTTAAACTGCTGTGAATTTTTTGTCTGACTTGAAAGCAAGGATGGAGAAACACTTTGAAGAGACATTTTCGTTTTTTCCCATTCCAGAATTTGTGAGCATGGTCATATTTTGCTTTTACATTTACAGTCATGAACTCTCATGCTGGCAGCTACAACCAAGAACCAAAAAATGGTGCATTCTGCTTCTTGTAATTCATCTCTGCTAATAAATTATAAGAAGCAAGGATAATTAATTAGGGAAAATATTTTATTTAGGTGGTTTCTGTAAGCAAGAGACTATAATTCTTGTACATTATTTTTCATCTTCGCTGTTTCTTTAAGCAGTGTAATGTGCCACAAAATTATTTTTAAGGTGTTTCCTGTTAGGAATTGTTTTAAACGTGTTCTCATTATCAGAATAGTTGTAGATATGTTTCAGAATACAACTGGTGATTTTTAAAGGCCTGAGTACTGACCTAAGAAGCAACTGGATGAATTCTACTCTGGAGGGAAGGGAGGATCTCAGTGAAAGTTGTATGACTTTTATATTTCTGTGCCATCAGATATAGGTAAAAATACCAATTGTGCAATTCTGTTGTTTAAACAGAACTATTGGCCTCTTTGGCCCTAAATTAAGGGGCTGATATTTTAAGTTGACTATTTTATTGTAAATTAATCCATCCTAATTTTTAAAAATTTGGTTGAATGTTTTTCTTGTTAAATGTTTAAAAAATAAAAACTGGAAGTTCTTTGCTTAGTCATAATTCTTTTTTCTACTGAAGTGCCTTTCTTGAAAGTTAATATTAATTTTAGATTTGGTTTTTTTGTTTTTTTAAATAAGTTTTATTTTTATTTATTTTGAGAGAGAGAGAGAGAGAGAGAGAGCACGGGAGGGGCAGAGAGAGAGGGAGACAGAATACCAAGCAGTCTGCCCTGTCCTGCCAAACCCCTAAGGTTCGAACTCATGAACTGGTGAGACCATGACCTCAACCAAAATTGAGAGTCAGATGCTTAATTGAGCCACCCAGGCGCCCCTAATTTTAGATTTTTGGATGTGACATTTGGACAGTGTTCGAAGATCTGAGTTCCTCATTTTATCTCCGTGTAAAATATGTCAAAGCCTGCTTTTAAACTCTTACCTTGGGGGTGATTCATAGCCATGATCCATAGCTATATGTCAGATTCTAACATAATAATATAAAGTGCTTGAAACTATCTTTGGAAATATTTTTTCCTGTTTTCACATTTACTGCACAGTCTATCTACCAACCTTGGTATCATTAGAACATAGTTCTAGGAGCCAAAGAACATGGGTTCCAACTATAATTTTGCTACTCTGGCCCATACATAGTTTGTTCATTTGCAAAATAGGAAAGTTGAATTAGCATGTTTCAGGTTTCCCAACCCTAATTAAGGAGATATAGTTCTAAAAAAACCCAAACAAAAACTTCACACCTAGAATTTTTCACCTAACACTGAAATACTGTGATTATGAGGATCTTGGCTTGTTCTACCAAAGACATCATTTTTACTTTCACCTTTTCTTCAAAAGGGGGCAAAGAGGGATATTGATACTTGGCTGAATTAAACTTGAGAAAAGCAAATTTAAATGACAAAATATGTTTCTAGATAGGACTACTAGGACATATAAACATTTTAGAATATAAAATATAAGTGAAAAAAATTATGGGCTTTGTGTATCTAAAGCATTTGCACCTAAAATTGATCCCCTATGCCTACCATCATTTGTTGTTTGCTAATTTTGGACCCGGTGGTAACTGAGAAAAGAATGTAGAAGAGGATGTTTTCTGGATTCTGCTGATGGCTGCTAATTCTGTTTGGTAATATGAAGCTACAAAGAGACAAATGGTGAAAAAGTAGCGTAAGAAGCTTGTTTCTTTGAAATATGTGGAGACTTCCCACGCATCTCCGTGCTGTTAAGATTTCTGCCTTAGAGCAAGCAATACTGAAGGTTATTAAAAGGACAACATAGTTACATGAGTTATTTATATCCATAGATACATGTAAAGGGGCCAAGAGGCCATGCTAGTGATCACTTTGCAAAACTAAGACATTTCAGAGAGTATCCAACTCCTGTCATGACCCGAGGCCTAGGATCGATGTCCAGTATCCAAGTGGGAAGAATATGCTTTGTATTGCTTTAAAGTTGACTCTGGGCAATGAAATGGGGTCTGGAAAAGAAAACTAGACCTCTAGGAACATACGAAATACAGGAAACAAATACCCTTTTCAGTGCCAAAATGAGCATTAAAAGTTTCAGATTCATGAACTAGAAGGAAACCTGGTGAATTGATCAGTCTTATCTGGAGAATTTGTATCCATGATTTACTTCACACTTGCACCGAAATAGTTTATTAACCTGCATGTTATTTTTCAATTTAAAAGGATGCACTTAGTCTCTTCTTAAAATAATAGTATAAATAGGGGCACCTGGGTGGCTCAGTCGTTAAGCATCTGACTTTGGCTGGGTTCATGATCTCACAGTCCATGGGTTCGAGCCCTGCATCAGGCTCTGCGCTGACAGCTCAGAGCCTGGAGCCCTGCTCCACATTCTGTGTCTCCCTCTGTGCCCCTCCCCCACTAGTGCTCTGTCTCGCTCTGTCTCCCAAAAATAAATGTTAAAAAAATTTAATAATAATAGTATAAATACAGTGTACCCTCAGTTTACAGGCATGTGGAAAGAGAACGAGACCTAACACCCAATGTTGGGAGTTAAAATGATATTAAATGTTTCTAAAATGTTTCTAAAGATAGAGGTGGCTTCCAGCACAACTGTCTAATGGGGGAGGATGTGGTTGGAACTGAGCAGGTGCCTC